CCTCCCAAGCCGAGGTGCGAGACGCCATCATCCATCATCCATCATCCCGTGGGCTCCGGCGGGCGTGTCTCCCTAACCCTTCACCGCACTCATGCGGCACTCTCACACACCATCTCACACGGCTTGCATTTCAGCCTGTCGCGGTGCTGCATTCAACCACACACACACACCACCGGTGCATTCATCGGACGGATTTCCTGGGACCTAACATCCAGCTGCATTGCAGCCACAAGCCAAATAAGCCTTGGCTTGGACTCTACGTTGCGACTCGGACGCCCGGGACAGCTGACGGTTGGGACAAAAGACAAGGCATCGTACTGGTCAGTTGTATCAGTTGTATATGTTGTATATGTTGTATATGTTGTATATGCTGTATATGTTGTATATGTTGTATATGTTGTATATGTTGTATATGTTGTATATGTTGTATATGTTGTATATGTTGTATATGTTGTATATGTTGTATATGTTGTATATGTTGTATATGTTGTATATGTATGTTGATGTTGTATATGTTGTATATGTTGTATATGTTGTATATGTTGTATATGTTGTATATGTTGTATATGTTGTATATGTTGTAAAAGATCATTTTTCCGCATCCCGACGAATGGCCGCCGCCTTCTTCCTGCCGGTCTTTTCTCGGCCAGTCGCCTTGCGATGCTGCCGCAGAGCTGGATACCTCCGAGAAACCCGCCTTTTGCCAAAGCTGACCCAGACAAAGACAAAGAAAGAAAGAAGGAAGGAAGGAAGGAAGGAAAGAAGAACGAAAGAAGAACGAAAGAAAGAAAGAAAAAGAAAAACACAAAGAAAAACAGAAAATTTGGCCACTTCATTATTATCGTAAAGTCCTATATTCATCTCCCCACATCTGAGAACGGCGCGAGATCCGATCACCCTCTCTCTTTATCCCGGTTTATCAAGAGGTTCACACTCAGCGTATCACCACACACGACTGAGATGAAAGAAGTACCTAGTATCTCAGAAGCTATGCCTCAACGACTAAGACGGTTTGCAATATTCTTGAGAAATCCTGGGGTTACTGTGGGCTCGTTTCCCGCGATGGTACGATAATTTCATGTCCTTTCACCAATGTATTCATATTTCAACACGTTTTTTCTATTTTCTTTTTGCGTTTATACACAAGTCGCCGAGATCCAAGTAGCTGAGCTGATTGCCTCACCGTTCGCCCTATAAATCGGCCAGCGTTGTTTTGGGTGTCAGGTGTGTGCAACTTGAGCATCTGTGAGTAACTTGAGCAGCAGTGAGTAAGTCGAGCAGGTGCCTGGATGCCTTCCACAGGCATTAGTATAAAACATTCCTCTTTGCCCAAAACCATCTCCATTTCTTCCACTTCATACAACCGCTCATCTCCCTTCCCCGGCCCAACTTACAGACATGTCCCCCTTCCCACCCCGTCCCGCCTACGGCGCGCTTCGCCTCGCCAGGCCATCCGACATCCTGCGCCTCGGCATCGTGGCCGTCGCGTCGCTTTACTACACGCCTCAGTTTCGTTGGGAGCGGCCGCGTCACAACAACAAACTGCTTTCGCGAGACACCCTGCTGGCCTACCGCCATCAGTTCAAGGACGCCATGATGAGAGACGACGCCATCGTCCTCGTCGCCGAGGACGCCTTCGATCCCAAGGAAAACGAACACACCGATGCCGTGACCCCGCCCAGCGATAACTGGATACCGCCGAACGAGGGTGAGAGGGTCATCGTCGGGGTCGTGAGCATCAAACTAGAGCGAGGCTCCATGAGGCGTGGCCAGTTTACATACGATGGTATACGAACCGCACCTTGCAAAAGATACCCTCCCTTGCGCTAACGAGACTTGTTTATAGGAGACTTTCCACAGTTGACGCAAGATCTGGGCCGCGACGTCAACAAGACACACCGCAACGCTTGGGGCAAACATGTCGATACCCTGAAGCAAAAGTTCGTTACTTTCAAAGGCCCCCCCCCCCCTGTCCAATGTCGATGATTGCTGACTGACTTTCCAGGCACTGCCGCGGCTACTCCTTCATGGAGTTGCTCGCCGTGCACCCGGCGTACTGGAGGCGGGGACACGGCATCAGGCTGGTGACCTGGAGCGCCAACCTGTCCCAGCTGGACGTGGTGAATCAGGGTGTCATCGCCACGCCCATGGCAGAGAAACTCTTCAAGGGTCTGGAGTATATCCTCATCGACAGGAGGAAGGTGCCCGGGGATCAGGATGACCCTGAGGGTGCGTTCGTAGACCTGCTTGCGCTTCTACCACCCAGGGCCATTGAAGGATAGAACTCTCATTCATTTACCGCAAAGGAGGGTTGTGCGGAAAAAAAAAAGAAAGAAAAAAAAACACAGAGCAGGTCTGCAACTCATAGACGAGACTCGATGAGAGAGAGAGCCTCGCTGGTCGCTGACGCCTTCATACTTGTCGTGGCTGTGCTTTCATGGGACCAGCTCGGCCTTTGAGTTAGTTGGTCATTGTTGGCCAGCGGCATATCACGCAGCTGCACAAAGCTGCTCTTTCACCGCCGTGGCTTTGAGTACTCCGGAAAACCTGTGAACATGATAGACTGTCTTTGTCGTACTTGGCTTTCATTGCCCCATAAGATTGATCATCTCTGCATCATCAATAAATCTATTAAATATCCAAAAGCGTCACCAGATCTATCCAACATCCTCCTCCTCCTCCTCCTCCTCCTCCTCCTCCTCCTCCTCCTCCTCATCATCATCATCACTAATACGTGCAACAAACAGCGCCGAGATCGCGAGACACAGAGCAACGGAATTATCAAGGCGCTGATATCCACACATTCTCCTAGCCTAGGCATCTTCTCACAGCCATCATGCTATCCCAACGCACATTGCGGCCTCGACGCTCATCGGGCCGGCCACGACCAGCAACGCAATCACAGCCCGAAGCGCGCTTCTCCGACTTTGTTAATCCCGACGCCCTCGCAACCGCTGCTTCGCCTCCTTCAACTCTGAAGCGTCTATTTTGTTCCGTTCGCTCCCTGATCTTCTCCCCCTCTCCCCGTTCTCCGTCGACCTCGCAGCCTCCTTCTCCAATACTCATCCCGCCTCTCTACCCTTCTCCATTATCTTGGTTCTCTATACTGTTTGCTCCATTGCCACCCCCTTCTTTGTATTCCCCAGCCTTGTATTCCTCATCACTCACCTCTTCTTCTTCTTTGTCACTCCTATGCTCTCCACCTGTCACTTCTTCCCCTCCTCCTTCACCCCCTTCTTCGCGCAGCCCTCCAAGTCGCGCCTCGTCCTCTTTTCCAGCGTATCCCACTGCTACTGATATTGCTGCTGCTGATGATGATGATGATGATGATGGTGGTGGCTCAGCTGATCTTCCCGATCTTCCCGATCTTCCCGAGCTTTCTGGGCCAGCACCAACACCACCGCCTTCTCCTCCTCCTCAGCCCTATCACAGGGCACGGCGTTTTTTCCAGCTTCGCACTCTTCTTCGACACATTCCTCATCAGTCCTCTCCTCCACAGCGCCCATTCATTCGTCCGCCTTCCATGCCGCCTCTGACGCCTTTGTCGTTACCGCCTCCAGCTTTAGAGCCGTCTTCTCCCCCTCCGCCTCCTCCTTCACCACCGCCGTCGCCGCCGTCTGCCTCCTCTTCTTATTCTTCTTCGTTGTTCTTCCTTCTCCTCATAATGTTACCTCTCCTTCTCTTATTCTTACTCATCCTCATTATTCTTCTATATCGTCTTCTTGTTGTCCTTCATCCATTGCCCTTCATCGTCTGCGCTACCCCTGGAGCGAGCTGGGTATCGCCCGCCTCTACTAAGCTACTCGAGCTGGCTGGACAATATGAGAGAAGATTGCCGAGACAGATCCAGGCAACTCTACAAAGAGTCTTACATTGACACTGCATTCTGCCCCCAATATATCAAACTCTGGGAGGAACTGGACATAAGCAGCTTCGGCTTACTAGTGCCGAGACAACTGCAGCTTGGGGGTACAGTCGATAACAGCTCTTCATCATCGCAGAGAATTCATCTATCCACCACACCACAAAGATGCTAGTCACAGCAGTTGCATAAGATATATATTGTACTATCAGGTGCTACACAGCAAAGCAATCATAATTCCAGTTCCGTTTCCCATTTCACGCCATTTCCAGCATCAATTTTCATAGGTACTTTTGCCACTTTATTTGGTGATGCGACAAACAAGGTCGGAGCCATCGACAGAGTCGCCTTCCTTGACCTGAAGGTTGGAAACCTTGCCACTGTGGGGAGCAGAAATAACCATCTCCATCTTCATGGCCGACAGAACAGCAAGGGGGTCGCCCTTCTTCACCTCCGAGCCCTCATGCACTCTCATCTCAACCAAAACACCAGACATGGGGGCACCGACCTGGCTGGAGTCGGTCGGATCAGCCTTGAGGCGGCTCACATTCTCAACCGCAGCCTTCTTATCAATGACGGTGACCTGACGGACCTCGCCGTTCATCTCGAAGAATACCTCACGTTGACCAGTGTTCTCGCTCAGGGGACCAACAGCAAGAAGCTTCAGAATCAGAACCTTGCCCTTCTCCAGCTCAACATTGAATTCCTCGCCAATCTCGGGCTTAGAGAGGAAGAAGCGAGTAGGAAGGACAGAGAGGTCACCATACTGGTCAACAAACTTGCGGTAGTCCTCGAACACCTTGGGGTACATGACGTAGGACGCAATGTCACAGTCAGTGACGGGGGCACCAAACTTCTTGCCCAAGTCCTTCTTGACCTTAGCAAAGTCAACAGGCTCCAGGTAGAGGCCGGGACGCTTATCAAGCTTGCGGCGTCCGCGCAGGGCATCGCTTCGGAGAGGCTCAGGGAATCCACCGTATGGCTGGCCCATCAGACCCTCAAGGAATTCCAAGACAGAGCCAGGGAAGTCGAGTTCACCGGCACGGGCCTTGACAGCCTCAGCATCGAGGCCGTTGGAGACCATGAACTGAGCGAGATCACCAACAACCTTCGAGGTAGGGGTAACCTTGACAATGTCGCCGAGGAGGTCGTTGGCCTGTTCGTAGGCCTTCTTAGTCTCAAGCCACTGAGAGCCGAGACCAAGCTGTGAGGCCTGGAACATCATGTTGGTGAGTTGACCACCAGGGATTTCATGCTCGTAAACTTCGGGATCGGGGCCGGCAAGGTGTGCCTCGAAGGGAGAGTAGAGGAGACGAAGCTGCGACCAGTAGGTGTCCAAGGCGCGAACCTGGTGAGCATCGAGACCAGGCTCGAGACCGGTGCCTTCGAGAGAGGCCATGATGGCGTTGATGCTGGGCTGGGAAGTCATACCAGACAGACTGTCAGTGGCAGCGTCAACAGCATCTGCACCGGCCTTGGCGCAAGCAACCATGGAGGCAACACCAGTACCGGCAGAGTCGTGGGTGTGCACGTGGATGGGCAGGTCGGGGTACTTCTCGCGGATGCTGCCGATGAGGAGCGTAGCGGCATGGGGCTTCAGAACACCAGCCATATCCTTGATACCGAGAATGTGAATGTCGAGCTTGACGAGCTTCTCAACAAGCTCGAGGTAGTACTGCAGGTTGTACTTCTTCTTGGGGTTGAGCATGTCGCCGCTGAAGCAGACAGTACCCTCGACAACACCACCGGCCTTGTGGACAGCCTTGATACCGACCTCGAGCTGGTCAATGTCGTTCAGGGCATCGAAAACACGGAAAATGTCGACACCGTTCTTCTTGGCCTGTTCAACGAACTGGTCGATGGCGTTGTCAGGAAGGGAAGAGTAGGCGACACCGTTGGCGCCTCGGAGAAGCATCTGGAAAGGAATGTTGGGAACAAGCTTGCGCATCTTGCGAAGACGGTCCCAGGGGTCCTCATACAGGAAGCGCATGGCAACATCGAAAGTAGCACCACCCCAGCATTCCAAACTGAACAAGTTGGACAGGGCATGGCTAGTCTCCTTGGCAATGTTGAGCAGGTCAACAGTGCGGACACGAGTGGCCAAAAGAGACTGGTGAGCATCACGCCAAGTGGTATCCATGAGGAGACATCCCTTGTTCTGACGAACAGCCTTGGCAAAGGCCTTGGGACCCTGTTCGACGAGAATGTTTCTCCAGCCCTTCTGGCAGGGCTGGCTGACATCGACTTTGGTGCCGTCGGACCGGATGATGTCGGGGATGGTGATGTCGCCCTTGAACTTGGGCTCTCCAATCTGGCCCTTGATGGAGCTGCCGTTGACGGCAACGTCACCGAGGTAAGCGAGCAGCTTCTGGCCTCGGTTCTGGCTGCTGAGGAGATCAAAGAGCTCAGGAGTGTCGTCGATGAAAGTGGTCCAGCAGTTGCTCTCGATGAAGGTAGGGTGGGTCAGCAGACGAGCCAAGAAGGGAATGTTGGTCTTGACGCCGCGAACACGGAACTCAATGAGAGCACGGAGAACCTTTCTACGGGCGATTTCGTAGGTAGAGCCGTGGCAAGTGCACTTGACCAACATAGAATCATAGAAAGGCGTGATGACAGAGCCTGCAAAGCCGTTACCACCGTCAAGGCGAACACCAGCACCACCGGCAGTTCTGTAGACTTCAATCTTTCCAGTGTCGGGCTGGAACTGCTTGGCAGGGTCTTCGGTGGTGATTCGGCACTGAATGGCGAAGCCACGAGTGGAGATGCGGTCCTGTGTCAGGCCAAGCTGGGCAAGGGTGGCGCCAGCAGCGATCTGGATCTGGGCGGCGACGATATCAATGCCGGTAATTTCTTCGGTAATGGTGTGTTCGACTTGGATTCTAGGGTTGATCTCGATGAAGTAGTAACGGTTCTGTTGATCGACAAGGAACTCGGCGGTACCGGCATTGCGGTAGTTGACGGACTTGGCGAGCTTGACTGCATCGGCGAGAATGGCGTCTCTGGTCTCGACGGGGAGATCTTTGGCGGGGGCAATTTCGACGACCTTTTGGTGGCGGCGCTGGACGGAGCAATCACGCTCGTACAGATGGACAATGTTGCCGTGGTTATCACCGAGGAGCTGGACCTCAATGTGCTTGGGCTTGTCGAGGAAGCGCTCCACAAAGACAGTACCGTTACCAAAGGCAGACTTGGCCTCAGAGGTGGCACGCTCGAAGCTCTCTTTGAGGCTGTCGGCATCGCGAACTACGCGCATACCACGGCCGCCACCACCGTAAGCGGCCTTGATGATGATGGGGAAGCCATACTCGTCGGTGAAGGTCTTGACCTCCTCGAAAGTGGCAACGGCACCCTTGGTACCCGGGACGACAGGGACCTTGGCTGCGATGGCGAGCTTTCTAGCCGAGACCTTGTCACCGAGAGCGTCAATCACATCGGGTGAGGGACCGACAAACTTGATAACAAGGGTGGTTAGAACACAACTCCGGCCTTAGAAACACAATTCCACTTACAATGAGACCAGCTTTTTCGACGTTGCGAGCGAATTCGGCGTTCTCGGAGAGGAAGCCGTAGCCTAGTGGAGTTAGCTCGGGAAGTGCTGCAGAGTGGCGTCATTCGTACCGGGATGGATCAGTTGAGCGCCGTGCTCGACAGCAATTTTGATGATTTCGTCGCCAGCGAGATAGGCACCGACGGGGGTATATTGACCGCGCTTTCCGATAACGTAGGCTTCGTCGGCCTCTGTTGGGGGTGGTTAGTGCGAGAGCAAGGTGGTGGGTGAGGCGGGGTAAACGGCGTACTTTGACGGTGCATGCTTAGACGATCCTCATAGCTACGGATGGTTAGCGAAACGTCGAGCAAATAAGCTGCTTGTGCGCAGCAACAGACTGTTGTACCTGAAGACGGCAATGGTGTGTAGTGAGAGTTCGTGGGCCTGCGCTTGCGTTAGATTCGGCGGTGCGCCGGGCGTGGCGGGGTGGGCGACTACTTACAGTTCTGAAAATCTAGAGAGCAGAGACACTCTAGTTAGCTTGGACGAATGGCAATTGCGCGACGGTTGAATGTGAATAGTGTTTCCGTACTCGGATAGCTATAAATTGCTGTCAGAAGCTTGTGGTGTGGTGGTTAACAGCAGAGAGCGACTTACGGATTTCACCGCGGTTGGCGACTGCAGTTCGAGGCCTCGGTTAGCACAGGGACTCGGGCTTTGTCAGAGAGCAATTGGCCGCGGGCGGCAGCTGCACGGCACATGAAAATACTGACCAAGAATCTTCTTGAGCTGCATGATGCTCGAGTTGGCGCGGATGTGCTGGACCGTTTGCTGCTCCTGGGGCTCGTCGTCGGCATCTTCAAAGACATCGTTGAAGGTGAGGGCCTGCTGCGGCAGAGAGGCCGTCGGGAGGGGCGCCATGACGGGAAGATGTGTTTGGCGGCAAAAGGGAAACTGCAAGGAATAGGCGGCACGAATTGAATGGGAAAACAGTTGCGGGATGAAAGGAGGCAAAGATGGGAAGAGGAGTAGGAGGGCTTGCAAGGTGGGAAGACGGAGGGGAACTGGCGGGCTACTTAAAAAGGTTCACAAGCAAGACGAGGGCGAGACAGCCGGAGACGGACGGCGGGGTACAAGTAGCAACGGGCAGGTCTGCGCGGCGGGCGGGCATGAGGGAGGAGCTACCTAGAGAGGAGCGCCGCCAGTCTGGTTTAGTCCGGCCCTGTCTTGCGACAGAATAGAGGCAAGTACCCTACTAGCCCTAGACTAGTAAGCTAGGTTGGTGGGCAGGGAAGGCGCGTCATGTACAACCCTTGTACCACAGTCGTGAGCTGTGACACACCAAGCACAAACTGTGCCTGTATCTGGTTGCCTCCTGGATGGGAATTGAGCTTGGCTTGTCGCAATTGACCTGCTAAGAAATCAAAAATAGATTCTTCTTGACCGTCTATTCTTGTCATTGCGTTTGTTTCCTTTTTCCATTCCGCAGGAATATAGCAGCGCACCGATTGCTTGGCCACCGGGGTGTGTCGTTAGCTTCCTGTCAGTTACCTAACTGTACTCGGCAGAAGCTGCTCACCAAACCTCCTTGCCGGCCCCCCCCCCAGCTTCACTGATCGCCTCTGGCGCGCGACGCCAAAACTGCCACAGAACAGCCCACATGGGGTTCACAGGTTTTCTCTCGGTAGCAGGCGTTGGACCGGGGGTCCTTTGGTTGCTGGGTCGCCTGCAGCGCCCAGCCCGTGCCTAGCGCTTCGGGCTTCGAAATGCCGTGTGCCCCGGCTCAACGGAGATGCAGGCCGAGCATACGGATAGAAGTTAGTCATTCCAACGAGAGGAATCTCGCCCAAATCCAGGGCAGCCACACTCTTCCTCCGGCTAGACGCCATCAGTGAAGAAAAACTACATCCCCGCCTTCTCATCGGTACCCTCCGAGACCGAAGAGAATCCATGCGGTGACGCTGTCTCCGGTTGCTCAATGTCTCAGACGCCAACAGCCTAGTGTTTAAACTTCTCGATATCTGCAGTGCTTGGCGCCAGGCAACGTCGAGAGTTGTTGTCTCCAAACTTGCCAGATGCCTCCCTCCAGTCCAGACTGACCTCCAAGACACGGTACAGGAAAACTATGTACACCCCCAAACACCTGTCCATGCACAGGTAGACGCACTCCTGTTTTTTACCCTCCCACTCACTACCCCGGACAGCTTGGTCGTTGCGTCCAGATTATCTTCTCGTGTCAGCACTTTTTTCTGAGACGCTGCATCAGACATCGTCACATAATGATAATAAGATCTGCCAGCCCATCACAGTACCACGCGTCTTCCTCTTACTCTGCGACAAGCGCACACCGCCCACCTGGCGTCTCACAGCATGGTCAGCCCGACAAATGATGCAACTTGCTCCTCGATCTTGTAGCACCGTGCCCCAGCGTGGTCAAACGATTCCTCGGCGTAATGGCTTACTGTCACTGTCACCCGCTGATAATGTACCCTGTAGCGTCTGTCAAGTCCCTTGAGCTCGTACAGTTTCAGTCATATTCGTCACAAGTAAAACCCAGCGTCAAGGTGTGTCGTCCTACCAGTCCTCAGAGCCATTGACCAATCACACTTGCCGGATAACGTTGCATTACGCATTGTAGACAGATTCATCTTGTACATCAAACATTTTCAAGTTCGTAGCAATAAGCTTCTATTAAACCCACGAGAGAGTTTATTTTCGGCCATAATAATGCCATGGTTTTTTGTTATTAGCTACCTGTCCGTTGTCGAAACCTCGGCCAAACTTTGTGCTTTCCTACCTCCTCCTGGCTTGACCTGTTGCCTCCCCCCCTCCCCAGGATACGCTGCCGCTCCGAAGCCCGCTAAAACGAACGAGACAGCAGGGTTCACCTTGGCATCCCTCGAGAAGGTGTAGCTCGGTCAATCTACGAATCTCAGGTCTATCAATCTCAGATTTGTTGAGATATGAGTAAGAAGGTTGACGCAGCTGTGTCAGCCAACAACCCGCCAAGGCTGCGTATTACCGAGCTGTATTAGTCTGGGCCTATGTACCTGTTCCCCTCGCACCGCTGGACCCGAGACTCGTTACGGGATTCGAACGACAGCTTTCAGAAACTGCGGCCGGCTCTGTAATTCACTACCAATTCAAATTCGCGGTGCATTGGCTACTAAAATCGCCTGGCAGCGCCGCTCCCACAGCGCTCTCGCAGTAGACTTTACCGTAACTGGAGTGGCTGGTCGAATTCATTAGAGGGGAGGCGAGGGGAGGGGGGGGTGTCTGGAGCAATAAGCTGGCCAAAACATCGCCTTTGCTCTGCGTTCTTCTTCTTACCTTGGCCCTCATGACGAGAAAACATGTGTCACTGGCTAGAGAAAGTCTGGAGAAGCCGAATGGGGGGAAGCACGAGAAAAGTAGCAGCTTTGGCACCACTGCCAGGTGACCGCGTGATGGACGCAGCCGAACGCCAGATTCGGGACAAAATCGAGAACTTCCCGCGAGCACATGGTTCCTGACTATTTTCGCCCGCCGCCCTCAGCTCGCCGTGTGCCTTGCTTGAGCCGCCGTTCGCCGCCTGTCTCCGTGCGTCCCCGCGTCACGGCACTGGGCGAAGAGGCCAGGAGCGAAGCGTTTTCGCCCGAGACCGCTCACGGCTCTAATGATGCAAGATTTGCTATTTCCCTCGGTTGCTCGTACGTAAATCTTTACCCCATGTTTTCGTCACGGGCTATGCCAACAAGGCCCTGCCCGCATCGTCTCTGCTTCCCTCCCAAGAGAAGAAGAAGCAGAGCTCCTCCGATTCAGACGACGCTAATAATAGGCTGGAGCTTTCCCACCCAGTCTTCTGCTCGTTTGCTCTGTTCTCCTCGGTCCTGGGCGTATCATGCTGTCGCTTGGCACAAGCATCGGCATTGACCTCACATAACCGAAACACGCCGAGTGGCAGATGCATCTACAACCGTGCGAGCGAATCGTATACCATTAAAAGAACTTGTTGCAGGATTAGGCCTGCCTATTCGTGGTTCTTAGTAGAAGAGTACACGGCTAGCAATGTCGCATGCCATTGTCCTAATTGCATTCGATTGCCCTGTACTCCGCCACACAGGTACTGAGCAAACATACCAGTACGGCCTCAGCATCTTGCGATATTACTCTTCTTCGTCAGACAGAAGGGTACAATGTTCTCAGCCGGAGCCACACCCCTCTGGGGCTTGTGTTGAGAGATCCAGCCAGGCTAGACTGGCGGATCCGGTGGGAGGGGGGGTAGCAGTAACTCTCAAACCAAAGGTAGCCAGCAAGAGGTAATAAGGAATTGTATGCACATGCAAATAGAGCAAGGCCAGAATATTAAACACCATTCATTATACCTTCCGCATCCCGGCCCATTCACCCCACAACGGGCCAGCCTTGAGCTCCCGACAGCCAGTCTTTTGCCCAGCTCCCTTGTCTAAAGTCTGAATAGCCTACGCCGGCTTGCCTCGTGACGTCGCCAGTGACCTGCAAGTACAGACTTGTGCATCCATTATTTTCGCCATGTTTGAATGAGAAAATCTCTAAGCCCGCAGGTGATCGGGTTTCGTATTGCACAATTGCCCATTGGCGCGGTACGTAATACGCGTCGAGAGCAATTGACTCAATAATAATTAATACCTCGTTTCTCAGCTCTAAACGCCTCCCGCGCTGCCCACCTCTCCAAAAAAGAGAAAATTATTTCTGCATAGTGAGCCATGTTTTTAGTAGAGCCGACATCATCTCCATTGATAAGGCTAGCATCCTCTTTTACTTGGGCTGGTCACACCCTAAAAAAAGTAGGGTCGCGGAGATAGCCACCGTTGCATAGATAAGACCACCAGATAGCGGTTTATTAAATCTCTCGTTCTGGAGATGATGCCTGGGAGACGGAGACATCAGAAAAAGCGGTCTCTCGTCAATAAAGGTCAGCTCCGAGGTCGGCTTTGTTGCTCATAACTTGTCATCTCTAAAATTATCTGCACTAGTCACTTACGAACCAAGTTCAAATAGCTAAATCCCAGGCTCAAAAGAGATGAGGAGGGAAAAAATCTTCCTCTCGGATCAATCGTAAATTGTTCCAGAACAACAACTGGGCATCACATGGACAAGCAATCCACCCACACGCCTCCCCGTGTTATGTATGTGCAAGCAAAGACCCCCCATAAATTTTCATCCATACATGGCGCTTCCAAGTCCTGGTTTCTGTGACATAATCGGTCGGCTACCTGAGGATACCCACGGACGGCCCTCCAGCCCAGCCATGTTGTACATTGATGATACAGCAAGTCAATTTTCACTCTGGCGTCGTATCTTGATGACGTGCCGAGTATTGATTGACTCGCTCATCTCCTTGCCGTGTCAAAGCCCTGCAGGCGTTGCAACTTGCGGCACTGTTGCGGCGGCGTGGGCTTGACCCATGAGTCAGTCTCGTGCAGAACTGATCTTCCAATTTCTTGCTTTCGGAAACTTTTGCCATAACCAACTAGAATCAACATTGGATAAGATCTCTCATGCCGTAGTAACTAGTAGCTTGCGGGCATACTTGGTAAAAGGCTCATCACAGCATCACTTCCGCGGAGGCTTACGCGGCTGTTATTTTCTTCTTCGGAGAGACAACCAACAGAGCAAAGGATGAAACCAAAAGTGTCACCTCGGCCATCAATACTTCAATCTCCTTTAGCATAGCGAATTGGCATCTGGACCTCCGCGAGTTCCATCGGACGTCGTATCTTGAAGCATGCCAACATTGCATGAACTTGATAAGAGCTTCTCCAAGGGAGTTGTTGTATAATGGTCCCTCTATTTTGCCTTATTCCCGAGCCTATTTCCACTTTATCAATTGCGTTGTATTAATATCCATCAGATCGGGACAAATAGGCACTCGTTCCGAGAAGCACGCCTGAAAGAATGCCCACCTTCAGTCAACCCGACGTTGAGTTAAAGAAAGATAGGAAGAGACCATGTCATTCTCATAAGCAAGTGGCTTTTACGAAAATATGACAGCTCGTTTCTAAGAGATGTATCTTTTACGTGTTCCTTTAGAAGATGCCCAGCTCTCCAGGTACTTCCTTTCCATTGGAAAACTCCACTCGCCGCAATATCGCTATGGTTAGATGTCGGCTGCTAATGTGCATTGTAAAACAGTCCATTCTTGCTACCACCTTTATTTACGGCTGGATCATTGGCCAACAAGGTGAACCCGGTCGAGTCCTGCATCTATGACAGATAGGTGGGCAGCTCGCGAGCCTCCAACCAACATACTTCTCACAAGCTGTAGGCATTCTGACATGCTTTGTCATAAGAAATAGCTATAATTTTATGCTCAAATAAACTGTATGAGTTTTTCCTGCCTGTGGATAGGCAATTATGTAGACCGCTTCGGATGTGGTCTGCTTACAGGATTGTACAGGTATGTGTCCCTTTTCGGTGCCCTCCAAGCTTTCTGATCCAACGCCTCCGAAGCCATTACATTTCAGGACCGACCGGCGATATTTCACGCCAAACGTCCATCCGTGCTCGTCCCTTTTGAGAATTGCCGCTTTGAAGGAGCCCTCCTCGCGCCTTGCGCATCTTGATTTGCTTTATTTGCTGACAGCAGCCTTGGCCTTGTCCTCGACCTTGGCGGCCTGGGCCTTCGCAGCCTCGAGGGCCTCCTTGCCTCCCCAGTTGTGGTATGACAGGAACCGGTAGCCCTGGGTCAGCTGCGCGCACTCGTTGACGAAGTGGCAGGCGAATAGGAGGTAGTTCTTGGGGGTGACGGCGAGAGAGTAGCGCATGAAGGTGGCGGAGTAGATGACGAGGGCGCCGGTCATGCCGCCGGAGATCCTAGACGCGGGAAGAAACCATGTTAGCTGATGTTTGATTTGACGGAACCCGGGTGGCGGCGGGCGAGGGGCCGATGCGCGGCCGGGTTGCGACTTACAGGTCCGGGCTCTTCTGCGTGTCCATGACGGCCGCGACGGGGATACCAAAGTTGGAAACGGGGCCCCAAAAATCTAGAGCGCAGATTGCGTTAGCAAACATCCGCTCCATCAAGCAACAATGCAGATCGAATGCTCCAGCTTCCATCGACCAACGACCACGCGCACGCGTCCTCTCTGCTGTAGCCTCTTGCGGGGTCTCCTGAGAGAGAAGCGCATAAAAGATGGTTCCCAGAATTCATTCCGAAAGGTCCGATGGTCGAGAGATTTTTGCGTTGGTGATTGCAACGCTCGTCGCATCGTCGCAAAAGGAGCTGCCAAGAATCCAAGAATCCATAAGAGTTAAAGGGCACTGCAACTTACGGGTTGAGCAAATGTAGCTCACCGTTGGGTTTGACCGAATCTTGGCATTGAGAGCTTTGATAACCGCAGCCATTTTGAACGAGCTTGATTCAAGACGTCAACGAGGGAGGTGGTTCGGTGTCGTTGGCAGAGCCCTGGACATGCCGGAAGCCCTTTTCCGCCGATATCGAAGGTCCTTGAAATTTGGCGCGCAAAGTCACGTGATCATCTCATATACCAAAAATGTTGGGAGAGCAGGGGTAGTTAGGTGCAAACACGGTTTATGCACCAGCCATCGATGCAATCGGTATCTGTGCAATGCAGCGTCATGTCTCTGCTCGACTGTGGAAGCAAAAGGGATGAATGGCTTGTCGTGACATCGCGTCGAGGCTTCAGCGGATGCCACGTTGAGAGTCCCGAGCGCAGACCTGCATTCGCATGAGGCTCTGCTAGAGGGTCTCCGCTTCGACCACGAACGGCATAATTCTACATGAAGAAATCCCGGCGGTCTGCATTTTGAATCTTTGATGTCGTGTCATAGAGGGCCCATGCGGCTCAATGACGCAGCGAGTTGATATCCTGGTCGAGCAAGAAGAGGCCAATGCCGCAGCGCCACCATCGCGGATCTCCTCCTTGGTGGATACGGAGATGGAGACGAAGCACAACCTCAAAGCAAAACTGCCCGAGAGTTGTCAAGGCGGCAAAGCGGCAGCAGAAGGAATTTCTCACGTAGGGAAAGCAACAACTGCAAGACTTCTACTCACGTCCAGATGACGCGATTCCATACACTTATTCGCATCCAGCCAAGGGCTAGCTCTTGTCTCTCATGGATCAATCTAGCGGGGCCCGTCAACATAGCCTTGGAACGCAAAAAAGCAAAGGCACGCGGAGATTACGTGCGATCTCCCTACCGACTCGCGCAGACCCAAGGGATCCCGGCCCGCCCTTCAGCCTCGTAGCTGGAGCTTTTACTTTTGCCCTGCTGTTAACCGTGCCGCGCGTCATGTCGTGTGGAAGCAAACAATACGACCTGGGACGGGAAGTCATTGCAGCCCGAATCGTAAAGTGAGACGTTCGACAAAAGCAACTCTCCGGGACTGCCAGTAAAGCGGGCTGGGCACGCACCCCTTTGCCGGACACTGCCTACAAGAAAGGGCCACGTCCCAAGTCAAGTCCAGTTGTAAGAGGCGGGAACATGTCTGCTTCTTGTTTCGCGGAAACCACTCCCATCCTTGGCAGACGTCGGCAGCTGAGGTCATGGCCAAATTCATTTACACCAGCACTGCGCTGCTTTGGTATCAAGCGGCCTTGTCCTCCGCCCTCGCACTGACGTGCGATGACTGTCCGACCGCTACTATCGACTCGGGTATACTCATTGGCACAGCTGCATCCGAACCTACTGTTGCTGTTCCAGTCAATAAGTTTCTCGGTATCCCTTTCGCAAAGCCGCCGACGAGATGGAAGCTACCAGAAAAGCCGGACAGCTGGCAGGGTTCTCGTGATGCAAGCCGCTTCGGCAATGCATGTTATCAGCAGCTTCTCTCCGGCGCCAAAAACGCAGAGCTCCTCAAAGAGTACTTCAATACACCCCCGGCCACGGTCCCAGACAGCGAGGACTGCCTATACCTGAATGTCTTTGCGCCCGCTTCTGTTCAGCCGGGCTCCAACAAAGCCGTCATGTTCTGGATCCACGGAGGCACTGACCAGGGTGGCACTGCGGCTCTTCCGGAATACGATGGCACGAATCTGGCGGGGAACCAAGATGTGATAGTCGTCACGACCAACTACCGCCTGAATTTGTTCGGCTTTCCCTCGTCTCCCGATATTCCAGCGAAAGAACGGAATCTTGGGTAAGTCAACTCGCCTCTTGAATTGCTACAGATTTGACCATTTCATTTCTTCTCTGCCTTTACTCTGAAGCTTGTGTAAAGTTCGATATGTGCTAATCAATTACAAAAAGTCTCCATGATCAGCGTTTGGCGCTGGACTGGGTCCAGCGTAATATCGAGGCTTTTGGAGGTGACCCTGATCTCGTTACCATTTTTGGCCAAAGTTCAGGTGCCAGAAGCGTGGACACTCTCATAACAGCGCCTCCCGATCCCGTGCCCTTTGCAGCTGCCATCATGGAATCCTCCGAACCGGAACTCAGCATGCCTGATCGGGACCTGGAGAAGGCAACATGGAACTCCCTCGTCTCAAATGCCGGCTGCAACTCTACGGCCAACGCCCTCGACTGTATGCGGCAGGTTCCAGCCGCACAGCTGATTGCGATTGCTGAAAAGAACGGCCTCAGCTTCACCGCCTCTCCCGATGGAGGCGTGACGTTTGTCAACTCCATACCTGCAAAACGCGCCGCGTCCCTGGTCCATCGCAAAGCAATCGCTCGCGTGCCCCTTTTGATTGGCTCCAATGCTGACGAAGCATCGCCATTCCTTACAGGCGGCGTCACGCTGGATGAAATTATGGCCGCATTTCTAGGAAACTCGACAGCCGAGCTCTTCCTTAAGAAGTACCGCCCAACGTACACAGGCTATCCCACCCCGGAGAAGCGCGACGAAGCATTGGTCACCGACTTTGTCTATACCTGTCCTACAGCTCGCACAGCCGGCGATTCCACTGCTGTCAAAATTCCGACGTGGCGCTATTTCTATAACGCCAGCTTCGCTAATACCGAGCTCTTCCCTGGTAGCGGCGCCTATCACTCAGCAGAAATACGACCCGTCTTTGGATTTTATCCCAGAAGCAGCGCCACAGCCTTTGAGATAGAGAGCTCCAGGGTGATTCAAAAGGCATGGGCAGATTTCGCAAAAGACCCTGCTGGAGGGCCAGGTTGGGGCCAGGCGCCTGAAGTCCAGCTACTCGGCGGTGGTGCCAGCCCCGGACTGAGTGACGACAACCGACTCGCCTCGGCGCCAATAAATGCTTCCATAACGGATGCACACTGCAGCCAGTACAAATCTCTTTATGATACTATACAAGTAACGGGGATCATTGGGAATACCCTCAATGCTATTCTCAGGCTACTTTAGATCTTGAACAGTTCTTTCACCCTCCATTTATGGGAGAATCACATACGTCATTACATAGATACGATCGAGGACTACATAATGAATAGTATTATGGCATAGTTTAGATATTATTAATGAAACAGGCCGCTCTATATCAAAGGTTTCTTACGCGTCTCACATCGGGAAGCAGTTCATCAAGCTGCCGAGTGTTGCAAGAGTAATTCAGGAACCGAGTTGTGTCTCACTGACACGTACCGAGTGCAGCGACACTAGCATCTTGGCACATAACAGAGCAGAAACAACGGGACAATCTATTAATAAATCAAAATGCGAGTAACGAAATGCGCAATTTCATCATCAAATGCCAGGACGGATAAACGCGTCGCCCTCTGGCCAATTTCCAAGGCCAGCAGGATCACCGCCAATGCGTACAAGAACACCAATTGCAGGGATGCCACCATCCAAAACAAAGAACTGATACCAGCCTGGCGGTGTAATATACTGACTAGGCGGTGCCGTGGCGGTGCATGACGTGCCTGAACATGACACGCCTGGGAAGATAGTCCGCGCGCCGCCCATCGAGCTGCCGTGCGTGCTGGAGACGGAACCGAGCAGCGATACCTCAATTCCACGGTTGACGGCCTCGCTTCCCAGCTCGAAGCGGACCTTGTTCCCGTAGCCCCAGTCGGTATCCTCGAGGGCGAACGTGGGCCGCCGCTTGCCGAAGAGCAGGTACGGCGGGCTAAACGTCTCGAGGCGGTACTCCTGCGCCGCCCTGCGGGTCCAAGCCGGACACCAGCACGCGGCCGTCGATCGGCGTCAGCACCTCCGAGTGGTACACGGGCGCCACCGTCACGCTGGCCATAACCATGAGGCGGCCGCCCAGCGGCCGCTGCGGGTCGTACAGCAGCGCTTCGAGTTTTGCAACGTGTGAGCTCTATCGAACTTCTCTATGACATCAAAATAGCAGCCAGGCCCAAATTTCACAACCGATGGTTGCAGTAGCTACGTCGAGCTTTGTGCACCAACAGATCCAGGGCCGCTTAGGAGACGATCGTCATGTTTATGCTATCAGATCTCCCCCAGTGCCGTGCCGGCCGAGACTGCGGGGGAGGAAAGCTTGGTGTCGGGGTTTACAACCAACACCGTCATCCTTGTGCCCTTGTACTATTGATATTCGAAACTTCAAATTTCGGTCTTTTTTCTTCATTTGCTTTTGATACGATCCTATGTAATCTTCTTGTTTGTTGATTGGTGCCCACGGAAAATGCAATGGTGTTAATGCGAACGCCCTCGATGATATCTGAACAGTAGCTTACCCTGTAGCTTACCCTATAGAGATGGAGGAAAATCTGAGGCGTGGTAAATAATCTCTGCGATAATTACTATATAGAGTAGAATCTTAGTTTCGAGCTGGAAATATATCCGTTTAAGTAAGGTGCTCAGTTCGCCGTTAGAATGTCCGAGGAGACAAGTCGTGAAGGATCCTGATAAACGACCAAGCTAGCGATTTGATTTCGAGACGGTATCGTCAGTGGAGGAACTATGGTGGGGGAGGGAGAGGGAGAGGGGAAAGGAAACAGAGAAGTAGAAAACCAGTTGAATCGAAGTACGACCAGCATTTTTCCCGATCTGCCGACTAATCGTAGAGCAGTCAGTCGTGGAGCAGCGCGTAACATGGGGCGGGCAAAACAAGGCTGGCTCAAAGTAGAGGCTGTGGTGATGCTAGCCAACCCCTGCGAACGGCACACGACACAACAGAATTCCAAGTTAGCTGGTACATGTACGAAAAAATACAGCAAAAGCAATTAAAAATGTGACTCGAAATCTGTGGATCGTGCCTGAATAGCTGGAACTGCTGCAAAGGATTGGCCAATTGCTGCCAAACATATGCACATATGAGTCTTGCAAAGTGACTCATTGAGGAGCGCTTACCAAAGCTTTGGAGGTGGCGCATCTCGCCAAGCCCAGTTAGGCAAAGGTCTGCGGGTAAAAGGCAAAGTCCACCAACCTCCAAAATCATCAAATACTCGCCTCTAAGCCGGCTCAGTCATCTATTGCCTCTCTCATTCTACTCCTCATCTCGTTCTAGTTGCCTCGAAGCGCTCAATCAAGATACCAAACCCGTTCCCGTCACTCGATTCGCGCCTGGCCCTTCAAACCACAGCAAAAATTCTCCAGCAAACGCCGGCACCCGCAAATCTGCCCTCATCGCCACTGGTGAGGCAGTCCTCCATCGCATTCCTTCAAGTTATGCCCGACAATCAAGGCAACCCACCACAGACTCCATCACAAGAGTCCTCTAGGGAAAATCAACAACATGGCCGTCGCCGAGGTCGAAATGGCAGAGGTCCAAGACCAAAGAATGGTCCAACAGGGAGGGGCAGCGATGTCCCCTCCTTGAATGGGGTTGCGGAATCATCAGCTGCTCCTACGCGAGACAATTCCGCTCGAGGCCCAAATCCACGATCTCGTGGAAACCGAAACAGACCTGCCCAACGTCAAACAGGCGTCTCCGGGTCGGTTCCCAATGCACCTCGCCCCGCTGGTCGCCGCGCGTTTGGAGGCCATCTCACGTCCACCACAGACAATGGCAACGAGTCTGCCGAAGCGGCCTCCGCTTCTCCGGTTGGTCTCAGTGCAGATGCCCCCGAGTTTGTTCCTGGGCGGCCGGTGGTGCCCAGAAGGTGAGTGAAAAGAGATTGATAATCAGTTCGAGAGCATGACTGACACCACCCTAGTAAGGCTGCCAAACCTGCACCATCGCGCCCCAAACAGGCTCGGCCAAAGCTACCAAAGTCCACCGCACCTGATCTGACTACGCGAATTCATGAGGACATTAGCAATTCCAACTATGAATGCGCAGTTTGCACAGATGAGGTCCTCCGCACTTCGCACATCTGGTCCTGCACGCTCTGCTGGACTGTTGTTCATATGAAGTGTGCCAAGAAATGGCACAGCAACCAGATGAAGAAGGAAGAACCTCAATCTTCGCAAATGCAAAATGAAAGCTCCTGGCGCTGCCCGGCTTGCAACTCCCAACTGTCAGACGATCCAGGTACTTATCACTGTTGGTGCGGCAAGGAAATCAGCCCCAAGCCCGCCAGCTTGTCCCTCCCGCCGCATTCATGTGGGCAAACATGTTCGAAGCCACGCCCGACATGCCCGCATCCTTGTCCTCTTCAGTGCCATTCTGGCCCTTGCCCGCCCTGCAGTCTGATGGGACCAGAGCAATCGTGCTTCTGCGGCAAAAGCTCGTCAAGAAAGCTATGCAGAGAAACTGACTACGAAAATGGCTGGAGCTGTCAAGACGTCTGCGGCGACCTGCTACCCTGTGGCGAACACACATGTGAGATGCCATGCCATAGTGGGCTCTGCGGCGAATGTCCGGTGCAAGTAGATGCTACATGCTACTGCGGCCGAGTTTCAAAACAGATTCCTTGTTTTGAGCGAGATGACCCGCAAGACTCATATTCCATACTGAAGGAAGAGTGGTTCGAAGGCACTTTTAGCTGTCAGACTTACTGTCAGCGGAAGTACGATTGTGGGATGCACGAGTGCTCCAAAGTATGCCATGCTCAGAATGAAGGCCCAGCTCACTGCCCCTTTGCCCCAGATGTCGTCTCTCATTGCCCTTGCGGGAAAACATCCCTGACTGAGCTTCCCGGCTACCCGAGAAACAACTGCGAGGATACCATACCGCACTGTGACAAGATATGCGAGAAGAAGCTCCCTTGTGGCCATACGTGCAAGTCAAAGTGCCACGCCGGCGACTGTGGCTGTTGCTTAGTCGAGGTCGAAATCAGTTGCCGCTGCGGCAGAACCAGCGAATCTAGAATCTGCCATCAGCGCAAGGATAACCCACCGACATGTTCTAGGACATGTGGTGCCAGCATGAGCTGCGGTCGCCACAAGTGCTCAGAAATTTGCTGCACAGGAGAGAGGAGGGCTACTGAAAGGCAGGCTGCGCGACGACGAAACCGAAACGCGGCTCCGGAAACTGCTGTGGAAGCAGAGCATATTTGCATCAGAACCTGTGGTCGCGCTTTAAAGTGCGGCAGCCACAATTGTCAGCAGATTTGCCATCGCGGTGCTTGTGCAAGCTGCCCGGAGGCCATCTTTACCGAAATTAGCTGTGATTGCGGCCGAACTGTCCTGCAACCTCCTCAGCCTTGCGGAACGGTTGCTCCAGATTGCCGTTTCAGTTGTATGCGTCGCCCAGAGTGCGGACACCCCCCGGTTGAGCATCATTGCCACCCCGAGGAAACTGGATGCCCTAAATGTCCATTCCTTGTCGAAAAGTGGTGCGCTTGCGGAAAGGAAAAGCTACACAGTCAGCCCTGCCACATCCAGGAAGCACGATGCGGAAAGCCTTGTGGAAAGAAGTTGAAATGTGGCCTGCACTTCTGTAAGAAATTGTGCCATCGGGCTGGAGACTGTGAGGACGCTGCGCTGGAGAGCGGGCAGTGCGGCCAAACCTGTGGCAAGGTCAAAATGTTTTGTGAGCACCGTTGCCAGAACAGTTGCCATGGCCAGACACCATGCAATGAGTCGGCAGCATGCTCAGGCAAGACGGAGATCGCATGTCCTTGCGGCATCCGCAAACAGGAAGTCCGGTGCCTTGCCAGCAGCACCAATACCGAGCCCGCGAGGCCCGAGCTCAAGTGCGACGACGAGTGCCTGCGACAGGAACGCAACAGACGTCTTGCCGCTGCGCTCAATATTGACCCGGCTACGCATACCAACGACCACATCCCCTATTCTGAGGAGACCCTCGCTCTGTTCGAGGAGACGCCGACCTGGTGCGAGACGCAGGAGCGCGAGTTCCGCGTCTTCTCGCAAAGCCCGACCGAGATTCGGATCCGCTACAAGCCCATGCCCAACAACCAGCGCCGCTTCCTGCACGTCCTGGCCGAAGATTATGGCCTGGAGAGCCGCAGCGAGGACAACGAGCCTTTCCGCTACGTGCTAGTGTACAAGGGCCCTCGATTCGTTTCGGCACCCGGCAAGACTATTGCGCATTGCGTCAAGATCCGTGCTACGCAACAGGCTGCAGCGGCAGCGGCTGCAGTCGAAGCCGCTGCCGCCGCTAAGCCGCAGATGCTCAGCGAGACGGAGCCTCTTAACGCCTTCCTGCTCACATCGCCGCGCTTCGGCCTAACGACGGACGAGGTGGGCGTTGCACTGGCAGCCGATCTCTCCGAGCAGCCATCACTGCACTTCAAGATTGAGTACCTGCCATCCGATGAGGTTCTTCTGCGTGCCACGGTGCGGTACTCGTCACTACTATCGGCCACCGGCATCGAGACGGCCATGCGTGCGCTCCAGAAGGGCGTCGCGGCGCGCGTTCGTGGCCTCGACATGGCCGGCCACGTCTCCTTGTGCCATGTCGACGCGGCTGATGTCATCACACGCCGCGAGGACTCAGCTGCGCCCCAGAACGGCGTCGGAGGCTGGAGCGCCGTCGCCGGCCGCGCGGCCGCCAGGAAAGAATCATCTGCAACGCCGGATGCCTCGCCAGCCAGGGTCGGGGGACGCCGCCTACTGGGTCTACGGAAGAAAAGGGTCGACCAGCCGGCTGAGCGGCCGTGGGCATCGCAGCTCGACGGCGACGTCGAGTGCTAGACAAGCATTCCTGGCAACTTTCTGTGGTTTCGTGCCTTCTACAGAGAGAAAAGGCCTACGATATGCTGGGTATTGCTGATGCTAGGTGAATGAGTGCGAAATAGGCATAGCAATTACCCGATAGATTTTGGCTTTTTTACGAGCATCATTGCATTACATTTACACACAACCTTCTTTCCTCTGCATGCCACTCATGTGTTTTCTACCGCGTCGTTTTACTCCATCCAACGTCTTTTCCACACGACCGGTTCAACGGTCTTTGATAATCCCACCCTCCCACACTTTCAACTTTCTACGAGTGCCGAACGTGGCTTGGTCTCCCCCTCGGGGCCAGAAAAATTTAAAATAAGCCCTCCGGGAGAACAAAGGCGGAGAGAGGGAGGGCCGCAAGCCACCATCCTCATCATGAGATCAAAAAAAGGTGCCGGCGGCGGCGCGCATAAAACAAGGCCAAGTTCTCGGTGCACCGCCCGATCACGAGATATTACCAATCCTCCTACTTCCTACGAAGAAAAAGGAGAGGCCAGAGCGATTTACGGAGCAAGGTTCACCCTCAGTCTGTGATGACACCAAAACGTTATGATGCTACCTCAGCGCCCATCCATCACCTGACTACAACAACCCCTCCCCCTCTTCGATGGGACTTGACGCTATCTCAACAGCACGGCTAATCTTTTCCTCGACAAGTTTTTTCGTATTTTTTTTAAACTTTTCAGGGAATAGTCACATGGACAGCAGAATCCTTTTCTTTTTCTTTCAAAACAGCACTACGTATGTTCACACCAACTTCTTGCATGATAGTCGCTACCTCGAGGCCGTCGAGGCGGCTTTGGGCAGCATATGCATGTCTTGCTGGCCCTGAAAGCTTGCCGGGCTGGCGCCTTGATTTTCTGGCCATGATGCAATCGTGCTTCTCGCGTAGCTAGCCCTCGCACTCACAACGTCGTCATCTCATCAAGCTTTCTGCGATGGACAGTAATGCTTGGCGTGGTGTGAGGGGCGGATGAGGGGCAGCAAGTTTGGACGGCACCCTACTAACAGGCTGCAATGGCAAGGTTGGAGCACTCTGCATGTCATCTTCTCTAGTGGTGTGCGGTAGAAAAATAGCGTGGTTACCTCGGGGGCAAGGTTGGGAAGCTAGGAGGAGCAGGCTATGCTGATAACAATATGCTTTCGTTCTTTCTATGCGTGGTGTCGTATCCTTGACCGCTCAGTTTCCGGGGCGCTTGTCAGGGCCTATTGCTAGGCTGTATTTGATCGCGTGGTCCCCTTCCGACGGCTCGCCGTCTCTTTCCATCTATGCAACAAGGGGGGGTATCAAATTCATCTTCTGGCCAGACTGCGCAGGTCTAATCCTCTCGTCCGCGTTCACCTCATCGCGTCGCCCATGATCCTGGTCATGGATCAGGTGACTATGAAGTGACAGTCCTTTAGTACTTCTCGTCTTCATCCTCGCTCCCGACATCATTGACAAAGTCTTTAATGGCCTCAAAGTAGCCCTCTTCCAAAACACTCGAGTTGTGATCACCACCAGGCAGTGGTTTCCAAATTTTCCTCGGGGCGACAGAGAGTTCGTACAATCGATGCATATGGCTCGGCCTTTACCACTTGTATCAGCAAAATATGTCATCAGGTAAAAGTGAGCAGACAGAATATGCGAGGGTTCAAGGTTCAGATAAAATCAAATGTAAAATCAGAGCCGCACGGGTTCATATTTTGTGGGTGATATTGATCATCATGACGCAGTATTTGGATAGACAGTGACATAAACAGGATGCACTTACGGAACAATTTCGTCTTGCAAGCCGCTGAGGAACAAGGTGGGCACCCTGTCTATGGTGGGAAGCACAGCTTCGCTGGCCCAAACTTGATGGCAGAGGAGAGTCAGGTACTTGGCAGGGGGGATGACGGATGGAATAAGTTTGCGCATGGACAAGAAGGTGTTCTCAAGAATGAGACCAGCAACGTCGCCACGGCCCTGGTTTTTGGCAGCGAGCTTGATGCCAACAGCACCGCCCAAACTTTGACCAAAAATGACATATCGATGGCTTCGAGTCTCTGCCCGATCACGGAGATAGTTGAGCCCAGTCTGGGCGTCAATGTTCAGTCCAGCTTCGTCAGGTTCTCCTGTCGATGTACCATAGCCTCTGTACTCGAGCATAAACACATTGCAGCCGATTGTGTTGATTAACAATTTTGCGATGGGCAGGCGATGTCCTATATTGCCAGCATTCCCATGGAACATAAGTATTGTAATCCTAGAATTTCTGTGATTGGCCGGGCCGCGAATGTAAAATGCAGACAACTTTTCGCCATCGTCTGTCGGAATCATCAATTCTTCGAAATCGCGAATACCAAACTGTGAGGGCCGTGGTACGTCGGTGCGAGCATTGGGGGGCATGTGCGATGGGTAGATTAAGGCCCTGCAGTGGCGATTAGTTACCGCACAACGGGTCAATCCCTCAGCATTGGGCATTGTGGGACACTCGGTAGGTGTATCGGTGTGGAGGAAGGGCTTACTTTTGCTTAAAGTATAGAAGAGATGTCAGGACCGCAGCAATGCCCTGTGCTGTCAGTCTAAGGAGGCTCCAGCGACGAGAGGGCGCATGTTGCATGGCCGCGCGCGACATACCGTGGATGCAAGAGCGGGGAGCTTCATATACGAGGCGACGGAGCTCAGCGCCGAAGCCGTCTGCTCCAGGTAGCCGGCCAGCGTGGACGGTGAAGAGTTTGAGTTGGACATGTCTTTGGATGGCATCTGTGTGGGTTTTGCAGATCGAATTGGACGAGCGGATGTATGGTTCGGTATTGATGCGGGCAAAGCCGAGCTCGGCTGCAGGAGGCCGCACAATCGGTGGCAGGAAGGGACCTAGGTATAATGTTCTCGTGCCGATATAATCAGATGGTTGGCGGTGACAAGGGGGGGCCAGGAAGAGTCTGCATTCGGCGGCGGGGGAGAATTGGCAAAGGCAAGGCGTGCGTGCGTTTGGTAGAGACGAATCTAAAATGTCATATTGGAAATAATCGGATGCAGTTTGTCGCGAGGCCAGGAACTGCAGAGATGGAACTGATGGTTGGCGGCCCGCAGACAAATTGTTGAAATGACATTGGGCTTGAGGGGAGCTTGAAGCCTCGGGGCTGGGCTCGGGCCGTGGTTTGTCGGCGTTGAAAAGGAGGAGTCTGATTGGAGGGTGATGGGTGAAGCTGGAGCCTGGAGTTTAGTGGGAGCCTCTAGGAGGAGGGTACTTGGAAGCTGGTTAGTGGCTCCAGCTGCAGCTCAGGAGCTGTTTGTTGGTGGTGTAATTTCGGAACTTGATGATGAGCAGGGCCGCAACACATGCGGATGCGGATGCGGGGATGGATGTCGCAAATCATCATAGCTCGTATGAGAGCAGAGAAGAAACACACTTGCTGCGGGAGAGACTGGATCAGATCACGACGCCTGTAACAATTGACGATCCAGGGACACATTGCCGTGGCTGAAACGACACACAAACATGGGCGAGGGCTCAAGTGGTCCATGAATCGCAGCGAGAGCTGCCTGCGCTGGCCGCGTACGCATGCATGTCATAAAAAGACGAATATAGCCATATCACAATATCACAGCCCTCTAGACGAAGAGTCTCGATCGTCGCTGGTCCTTGAGACAGACCAAAGCCAGAAAGGAAGGTCTGTAACTGTTTCCATCCCTTTACCAAGGCTCTCTGGCATGTACCGGGACACATGCGATTCGCTCAAAGTCGAGTAGTCCATACAAACTGCAAACAATTCATGGTAAGCCTCGGGTACGGACGCCAGCTTCGAATAATCTTTGTGTAAATTTTGACCAAGTTCAAGTCAATGTCTCAAGCCGACTTCTAAACCAGGAAGCTGGTTAAGCTTAGCGTGCGATTCAAAGACATTGACACGACACTGCTAATAAAATGATGAGCAAAATAAAGTTCCAACATGGTCAGGGTTACTTGCATGTTCGGTTTGTTACTGAACGTGATCGGGCTGTACTTGTCAAGCCATGCTGCCTCGACTCTTCCGCGAACGCTCTGACCCAAGTAATACCCCAATGTCTCGTGCATGAACGCCCATGGAGGCACGGTCACGATGGTGACTTGTGCGGCAGCCCTCCCGCAAAGCAACGCTACCCTTTGTCTGCGACTGGCGGGGACCGAGGGGCAGCGACTTCGCTCATGCCCGAGAAGGATGGCAAGCAAGGTTAGTTAACTAGTTATGATGCCGCCTGGCGCGTGCCCCTTTCTCCTGGGACCTGCGTCTTGACCGGCGTTCCAGAAAGAAGGTATAATAGTCTAGCGCTTGATGCTAAGCTATACCGGCGAGCTGGTAATAGAGGGCTGCCAGCGCATCAGCGCCAGTTGACACACGCCCATCAAGAAATCATCGCGCCGAGGCCTAGGATGGAAAGTGCAGCGCCACATCGGGGAAGGCGTCCGAAATGGGCATATGCTCAGAAAGTTTGGGGACAATGCTATCAGCCAAGAGCATGCGCAGACGGATTGCAGTGCATTCCACGCCTGGGAGGATGGCGCCGTCTCAGGCTGGGCGCCAGATGTGGAAGCGGGTTGACGTGCTTCGCGATCCTGAAACAGTGGGCTTATTGGTATAACACCGAGTACTGGTGCTGGTACTTGCTCGAGAAGCCAAGAGAAACAAGGTTAATTTGTAAACACGGAAAATACTTGAAAGTGTTCCAGGCTGCGTGTGAATGAGGATGGTAGGGAAAGAGATCGTTTTGAGCAGGAAAACAAAAAAGGAAAAATGGCACGAAGGGGGAAAGACTCGGCAAACAAAATCAACTTCGCTTCTGCATGCCTGTATCGTCGACGTTATCGCAGCAGCAAGGACACTGCACGTAATAGGATGATGGGCAGAAAGATGACCCCATACAAACCCATACCGCGCCGATGTCTGTCCCAGTATGTAATTACAGACACAGTCACAGGCACAGGAACGCCGTCGTCACACAGTAAGGAGCCCATTACGGCCAAGAAATATGTTAGCCCGTCCGTCAGTTTGCGCCTGGTGGCGTCGCTTGCGGCCTGGGGCAGATTGCGGCAGTCTTCTTTTTTTGCTTTTTCGCCCTTTGACGACTCCATTTCACCAAAAGCCGAGCTGTACCAAACTGTTGTTGCGCCGTCGATCGTCCAAGCCAGGCACACATGCCAAAGACGCACGGGACAGACGGCCGAGCAGTCAGCTAACAGGTAACATTGGGCTGATGATGCGGACAGCTGATTTGACGGGCGATGCGCCAGCTGAGAAGTTGGGAGCTGCGAGAGGGTTACTGCAATCGTCGAGGCGTAGCCGACAGCATTCTTGGCGGCGCATATTCGTAAGCTGAGTGACGTGAGCAAGGCCAGAGGTCGCGGCGGACATGGCCGCAGCGATGTCAGGATGAACGGCCAACGGACGGTCTCGTTCCTGGCCTGAGCTGGCTGGCGTCATGGGCAGATACCCAAGGCGAAATGGTGCCGAGGCGACATGCTACAAGATACAAGACAGGAGATGGGGTGGTGCCATCTTTCGGGCGCCACGTACCGCCGTGGCGACATGTACAACAACGACTAAAAACTAGTATGCGGACGGGCGTAATAAATAGAAACACTGGCAAGACGGATGAATGGTGACGAGCGAGGCTGCTGGTATTCGTGATGGGCGCGTAGGGAGATTTGCTTGGGCGGCTGGATATCAGGAGTAAAGAGGTGAGTGGCCAGTGATGCGGACGGCAATATGATGGGCGCGAAGAGAGCCAACAAGGGAGGGAGAATGACGGAAGAAGTGGTACAAGATGGATATGGCGGGTAGCTATAGCATTGCCGTGTATCACGTCGCAGGCAGCGATGGATGTATGTATGCATTCGATGAATTGGCATCAAGAGGAGAGCAAACAAGACAGTGGATGCTCTTTCAGGCACGAGAATGTGATGAGAAGGGAATGCTAGGAGCACCCCTGCAGTGCCAGATTATTGGAGTCATGTGACCTGGGGGCCTTACGGTTCTTGGGTGGGTGAGGAGGTGCTGGCCAATCATGGTGCCATACGTAGAAACAGACACCCAGGCAACCAATCGGAGGGGGCGTGTGCGCAGTGGTGGGGGAATGACGCTCAGGCTGAAAGTGCTTGACAAATTACAGGTGGTACAGGCGGTATTTCGCCAGTTGGTTGGAAATCTGGATGTTGGAAAGGACATGCGAAGATGAGGCGATTTTTATTTGTCAAATTGTAGGCGGTACGACTCTTGTTTCTCGCCTTAGTGGCTGCGGGATGTTGGATGCTTCGTCGGCCGGCCGGCCGACGGGAGGGAGTGACTGAACTGTTCGGCCACTGGCTGTAGCGCTGTGCTCCCCCGGCAACCCGCTACCTCGGAGGACCCCGCCGTTGGGCGTCGCTGGGCTGCCTGTTAGGTCCTCGTTGGGTATTTTGTGAGTGATGACGGGGAGTCTGTGAGTGAATCAGTGCAGTGCAGGTGTGCAGTGTGGTACAAGTAATAATTGCCAATGAGGATGTCGAGAAGATGCGATGAGGAGGGGCTTTGATGTCTGCCTTTTTGCTGGCCCTTGCCTATTTCGCCCGCCTGCCTGCCTGCATGCCTTGCCAGCTGGCAGGCTGCAGCAACCCCAGATGGATGCTGTGGGCGGCAAACGGGGGAAAAAAGTGAGGACAACAGGAAAAAAAAAGCAGAGGAAAAAATTAGCACAAGCAAGCCCGTTTCCACTCGACTCCCCCAACTTTTTCTTCTTTACAAAATATCAACAAAGCATCCCAGTTTCTTCCCGCTATAGCTCCAGAGCCGACAAGCCCGTCGCTATCAATAATATTGGTTGTCGCCACGTTAGCTCGCTTCCCTGGAGTCACCCCCTGTCGAGCCAGCAAGCACTTCTTTCTCCAGGCGACGTTTTTTCTTCCCTGCCCCGGTACCTCGCAAACACATCGCCAGTCTCGTCCAGCTCAAGTACCAACCCAAGAAAGCACGGCACCCGCAAAGCATCGTGCAACGAAACAAGGCCCAAAAAAATTACGCTTCGCCCACCTGACCCTACCGTTGCACCGTCTGGCGCCCCTCCATTCTCTAATCATTCCAATTCCGCACCTCGACAAAGGCTTTTCCTTTCTTTCCTTTGCTGACTCCCACTTGGCTTCCGAGTCGCATTCCTCCGCCTACAGCCTACGGTTCCCTTGCGTCCATCCAAACAAACGCCTCTCTAATCTCCTGACGCCCTCCGTCACAACACCCTAGCCACCACACACGACGGCCCTCTCCCGTCTCACCCCTTGTCCTCCATCAAGTCAACAAGCAGACGGAAAACGCCCCCAAGCTGCTCAAGGCTCGATCAAAACTTGACGGCCGACTCGAATCCCTTTGCACACCCCCAGCAGCCAGCACCCTGGGACACTCGCTCGCTTGCTCCATCACTTGCTCCAAGCAAGCCTCTAATACGCACTCCAGACAACCAAGCTCCATCTGCATTGCGCCCCAAGCACTCCTGAGACTCTGAGACTCCGTCCAAAAAAAACTCCACAGCCACTCACATCGCGACCCAACCCTCAATTCTCACCTCCCGCCAATCAAACTCGCCCCTCTACTCGCTGCCCATCATGGTATCCTTTTCGTGTGAGGTAAGGCATTCGTCGTCCGTTTTCCCTTTTGCTTTCCTTTCCTTTCTTCCTTGCCATGCGTCACTCTTTTAGCCCACACCACCTTTAATCTATCCTTGCCCGGACCTGACATCACTTCCGACACACCCACCATACACCATTCATACACCACCACCCACCATACTGGTACACCATACCAGACCTACCGTCCATACATCCTACTCCCATCAGCACCATTTTAGAACCTCCCTTTCTTGCTCGCTGATCCCCTGGCCTGTTCTGGGCCACCCTTGCCCGCGGCCCTCACTATCTTTACATAGTTCGCGCGTTTGCCCTTGATCCCTCCAAACCATCAAAACCCAAGTCATCTCCCCCGCGATTTAGCTCCCTTCCCCCCCTCGTCTCACTACTATCCCGCCCTCAACTCTATCTACTCTCTCCCTCAAACTCGACAACATTCATACTCACATTTGCAATTGCAGGAGTGCGGCGACGTCCTCACTAAGAAGAAGCTTGACCCTCATCGCAACCGTTGCCACGGCGCCACCTTTACCTGTATTGACTGCATGGTCCATTTTCCTGGCGTCCAATACCGCTCTCATACTGTAAGCCTACCCATCACGTCACGGCTCACCTTGCTCGCATGCCTGCTTTCCACCATCCTGTGTTTCGCTGACACAGACACGCAGTCTTGCATGACCGAAGATCAGAAGTACCAGGGAGCTTTATACAAAGAAAAGCCCAAGAAGAACAGCAACAATACCCAAACCCAAGCTCAATCTCGCAACACCTCGTCTAAGCACGACAGCAACCCACAGCCCACCAAGAAGACCAAGATGATGGCCCATCAATCATACGTTCAAGACGTCCCTGACGACGCCAGCTTCGGCCACTGGGCCGAGTACGCCGGCCAGACCGAAGACGAGCGCTCGCCCGTCGACCATATGCCCGAGGCGCCTACACCTCCTCCTGCCCACAGGGAACAGCCATTCAACGTCTTCGACTACCTCGTTGCCACCGGCCAGACCCCCAATGCCTCCAACGTCGATCTCGCCAAGCCTATGCCGGTCGAAAGTCAAAGCACCTCACTTGTCCGATACGAACACAACGCGGACGGTTACCTTGTCGATGACGAACCCTACGTCCAGTACGGCAGCGGACCCGTTCATACTGATGCCTACGTCACACCCGCTCCCAAAACGGAGCGCCGCCGCAGCAAAGACGGTGACAAGAAGGACAAGAAGCGCAAGCGACTGCACATCGAGGTAGCTGGTGATGAGGAGATGGTTGATGCCCCTCCTGTGCTTCACTCTGGACTCACCGGGAACCTCAAGAGTTTGATGCGCTTCCCTCCTTCTCCCGAGTACTCTGGTGACGCTGCCGAAGCCACACCCGCCAGTCCGTTGAAGAAGTCCAAGCACAGCAAGCACGGAAAGAGCAGCCACGGCCACAGCCATAGCATCTTCGACATGATCACTGGTGGTTCAAAGAAGTCCAAAAAGTCAAAGGACAAGAAGCGTCACCGTCGTTCCAAGAGCCCCAAAAGCCCCAAGAAGCTCGAGTTTCACAAGGAACCCCCCAAGACAGAGACGGAGGGACAAATGGTTCTCTTCAAGCCCCGCGCCGACATGTTCCTTGGCTTTGTCAACAAGGGTCCTGAGAGTGACCGCGGCTGCAGCATGAACAAGGCTCTCAAGCGATACCACCGCGAGCGAAAGTCGTCCGGCTCTAGCGTCTCCAAGGTCAAGGACGAAAAGGAGCTCTGGCGATCCCTGCGCCTGCGCAGAAACGAACGCGGCGAGATTGTCGTCTTTGCTCTCGACGACGACGAGTAATGTCGATTCTGCTGGCAGGATGACTCTTCATTGATACACATTGGCGCTTCGGTGGCCGCTGCCGCGAGGCACAGTTTGATTTTGGCGCGTCTTTTTGCATTTGAGCCGTTGTTTTGATCCGGGCTACATCATCTTCATGACATTTTTGCATCATACCTATCATCTACTGTATTCCAACCTCACCCCCCTTTCTTTCTTTCCAATAGACGGAGATGGTACTGTTGCTCATTTCCTCCTGCAGGAGATGGGTGCAGGTACTGTTGTCGGTTTCAGCTCCTCCCCCTTTCTAGGCCTTGGCTAGTAGAGGGAGTGATTCACTGAGCCTCTTGTACAACAAGCGCAGCTCTCGTCTGTGACGGGGATAAACAAAAAAGGCACATGGACGTCACATCCGAAGGCCTATAAAAGGGACATACAAAACTTTTTACACCAAACAAAAGGAAGAAGCGAAAACTTCTCGTGTTTGAAAAGAGGAAAGAGAGGGCTTGCGGTATGCAAGCAAGCATCAGTGAGGAAAGGTTGGATCTCGCTGAGAAGAGGGGATTTAATGACGACGGGGTAATCATGATACCATGGGAGGAATTTCTCTTAGTTCTTTTCCTTTTCTTTCTTCTCTTTTTTCATTTGCATACTTGATCTTTCATATTTCAACAGAAAGCGAGACATTCTCGTCGAGACCTGCAAGGTCAAGGACATAACGAAGGCATCTATCTATCTTACAGTGAGTGTTATTTCATCTCTCATCAGTTTTTGTGTGAATATTCCGGGAGCCTTGGTAGTATCGGGTGTGTTCTATTTTGGATAATAAACAACTATTTCCACTCTATTTAAAAATTACACAATGCATTGTTCGTGGTATCATGTGCATGCGCTCCATATCTCCCGCCAGATCTTGCCAACCAGCCTATGTACACCTCTTGGATCTCCCCGTTTGCTGGTTTTATCAAAACACCCGCAGGGGAAGAATGTGCTGGACGAGCGCGTCCCGCCTACACAGGGGACACTCGGGCTTCTCGCGGACCCAGTCCGCGATGCACTCCCAGCAGAAGACGTGGCCGCACGGCGTGGCGGACGGGTCCTTGAGCTCCTCGAGGCAGAGCGTGCACTTGCGCTGCTGCGCGCCCTTGACGTACCCCATGACGCCCTCGTCGGCGAGGTCGAAGCGCGCCGCCCCCGCTCCGCCGGCCGGCGTGTGCGTTGTGGCGGCTAGGTCCACGCGGCTGGCCTGCGGCCCGCGCGCGCCGCCGCGTGGAACCCGGCGCGCTCGCGCGGAGCCAGGAGCTCCGTCTCGGCGAGGGCCTCGCGGACGTGCACCCACCCGCGCACGGCCAGCTGCACGACCAGCAGCACGCCGAGCACCTCGTAGCCGGCGCGGTCGGGGGTGTCCGGGACGTCGCGGGTGAAGACGTAGCGCAGGCCGAGCGCGCGCTTGGCCAGCTCGTAGTAGGTGCCGCGGAAGTAGAAGAGCGCCAGCGTGACCGCCTGCAGCGGCGCGGCGCTGGTCAGCCCCGTGAGGTGCGCCGCGACGTACCGCCACAGCCGCGCCTCCCGGCCGTCCTCCTCCCCTTGCCCCTCCAGCCTATCCACGCGCGATTGCAGTAGGGCTCGGAGGCGCGCGCGCAGGGGGGGCAGCGCCCGGCCGGCGAGGTACGGCAGGAGCACGCTGGCGGCGATGTAGGCGGCGCGGCGGGCGAGGGTGGGCAGGCGGCCGCGCTCGCGGGCGGAGACCTGGACGAGGTCGCAGTACTCCTCGCCAAGGGTGCGGTTGCCGGGGAGGGTGGTGAGGGCGAGGTAGGTGAGGGCGGCGCCGGCGCGGAGCTCGGGGGCGGCGGCGTGGGCGGCGCGGGCGCCGAAGAGGCGGCGGTGGAGGTCGGTGAAGGTGGTGGCGAGGTGGCCGGTGAAGTAGGCGTCCTTTTGGTGGGCTCGCACGATGTCGGGCGCGGCGGCGAAGGGGTACGGCGAGGCGGAGGAGGAGGAGGAGCTGCCTGTGGCGGATGGGGGGAGAGGCGGTGGTGGTGGTGCGGCGGAGGGGAGCGGCGGCTCGGCGGCGGTCGCCATGGTCGGGGATGCGGTGGTGCGCTGTTCGTCGTGGGTTGTGTTGGCTTGGTGTTGGTGTCGGTGTTGATAAATGATGGGTGGCAAAGGAGAGAATTATTCGTGGGTGAGAGGGCGAGGAGGTTGGAGATGAGAGGTTGAAGATGGAGATTCCCCAGATGTTCGGACCTCGGGATCTTTGGTTGCCAGCTGCTTTCAATATTAGGCGTGCCTTAAAATAAGGTGGGCGCTGGCCGATCGGATTGGGCTTAGCCTAACCGATGCCCTGAGATCTTCGAGACAGGCACCATCATTGCCTTCAGCACCATCATTCAAAGTCGTCACGGCTGATCGAGTATTTATTCCAGAAGTGCAAATCAGTTATTTAATCCGCAATGATAATACCATTCGACCTCACTCGTGATTATGCATCCCGCTAAACCGCAAACTAGCACCGTACTAGCGAGCCTCACTACCACCTTGCCATCAAACGAGGCCATAGGCAAATACCCCGAATTTTGATATGAATTTGATTTTTCCTTTTGAAATTTCCTGTGCTATCTTTTCTCGATTTCTTTTCTACTCGTCCTCGATAGATTGCGCCGCCTGACCAGAAAACGACCCCAACCATGCCCACCAACTTCGAAGTCTTCGGGACCACCTCACCAACCTCGGCTCGCTCACCACCGTCCTCACGCCGGAGGCTACCTCTTCACAAGCAACTCCTACGCGGCGGACTACTGGATCTCTCACGGCCCCGTCGGCTGCGCCTCGCAGGACGTCGCGGCGTGCCTGCCCGGCGGCCGGCAGCGGCAGCCGCTGCGGGACTGGCGCCGCGACGAGTTCACGCTGGCGTACTACTCGCCGGGGTACCGGTTCCCGGCGGGTTGGACCGCGGCGACGGCGGTGAAGGTGGTGGGAGTCTTGGCGACGGCGACGGACGTGTGCGAGGACGGCAAGGACGGCGAGCCGCTGCACGCGTTGGAGCTGATCCTCGACGTCTTTGCCTTTACGGCGGTGCTCCGACGGCCGCAGGACGTCCATCGTTCGAGGTCACGCTGCTCGGCGCGAAAGGTCCCCGGGTCGTGCCGGCGTCGGGCGCGCCGGTTAGGACGAGCCGCCTGCCGCTAACGGAGGAGGGCGTCTACGAGGTGTACCACACGGTCCCCAACGTGCTGCTCATCAACGGCGGCCAGGAACCGACGGGGACGGCGGCTACGGCTACGAGTACGGGCGAGGCTGGCGGGGACGAGACGAAGAAGAGCTCCGGGAACGTAAAGAGTCGGAACGCGACTTCTCTCGCGGCCTTGTGCTCAATGGTCGCTGCGGCGTGTGCTCTTTGTATCTGAGAGGGGTTTATGAAATGAGTGGTATCTGCTCATAATTACCTGGTATAAAAAGCGTAGCTGGTGTTGTGATTATTTAATATTAAAGACCAACTGGGTTCCTCCTTTGACCACTCGGCTTTCTGTTGATGGCTAGCATTGAACCGAGGCCACTTGGCCCAAATATGAGCCCGAGACTCAAGTCATTTCGTTTCTTGTGTGAACATCAAGTATCGGATCATTCTGCTTCCTACCTGGATTCGGCAGTCGCCGATGCACGCCAAGTCCACCAGCGGAAATACCCCAGCCTTATTATTGTCCCTGACGGCGGGGGGGGGGGCGCATCCGGACTATCGACCGTAATTTCTTGACTAATATAATTTCCAACCAGCATTTCTTTACTTACCAACGGTTTTTCTTTTTCCCCTCTTCGTTATACACCTGACCTTTCTTTCCAACTTGGGAAAAGCACAGCCTTGAGACCCTTGACGTCCCATCCGCCTGCCCAAAATGCCCTCCGAGACGGCCGTCTTCAACCGCACGCTGACCAACCTCGGCCCCCTGACCACCGCCTTCACGCCCGCACCGTCGTGCACCGCGCTTCCCAGCCAGTCCGACGCCGGCTTCATCTTCTGGCATCGGACGTTCGACGGCGACGGCCCCGCCAACGGCGCCGACGTGCCGTACGGCTCCGTCGCTTGCACGCCGCAGGACCTGGCCACGTGCTACCCGTCGGGCGCGGCGCGGCAGTCCATCCTCGCCAGCGGCGGGTACGAGTTCACCCAGCCGTACCACTCGCCGGGGTACCGCTGCCCGGCGGGCTGGACGGCGGTGGCGTCCGCGTCGTACGACGACGCGTGGTCCGAGCTGTCCGCGTTGGCGCACAACCTCTCGGCGCCGGCGCCGAGGGGATACGACGCGGTGGTGACGGCCTTTGCCATCTCCGCGCTGGCGCCGAGCGAGACGGTGACCGTGTGCTGTCCGAGGTGAGCTCCCCCCGTCCCGACGGAGAGCTTGGCTTTGGTTTTGCTGACGATGGACTACAAAGCGGCTACGAACCGTTCGCCGGCGACTACGAGGTCCAGTTCGGGTGCACGTCCTCCCTCGGCCCGGCGTCGTCGCGCGGCGTCAGCGAGCGCTGCTTCAACGACCGGCCGACGACGACGGTCACGTTTGGGTACTGGAACGGGAGGGTGACCAAGATTGAGCCCGTGTCGGACGCGCCGACAAAGTACACGCAGCTGCCGCTCGAGACGGGCATGTCGTATGAGGTGGTCCACACCATGCCGAACGTTGTGCTGATCAACAAGGGCGATGATGCCGGCGGCGAGGCTGCGTCGCCGACGACGACGCTGACGGGCACGGGGGCTGGGAAGGACGGGAAGAAGAATGCGGCGAGTGGGCTGAGGGTGAATTTGCCTGTTGCTGCGACTGTGCTGGTTGGTGTAGCTTCATTCTTGGGCCTGTAAGGGGCAGGAGGGTCGTGCATTTGGCGGCTTGACGTTTGCACTCGGTCCATGCGGTAGAATGTGATTTAACATTTATGAACGGTAATTTTGGAGCAAAATATGAGGCTACATAGCTTACAATTCTTAATCTTATAATCTCCCAACACGCCCCCTTACCGATACCTGCATAGCTATCCTTGCTCATACGGTAGCAGCCCATGACAGCACTCTGTAACCCAGAAGCATAGACAATTTTTTTCTCCTCAAAATTAGAAGAAGAATCTTCTATTTTTCCAGATCGTATTGCCGCCATCTATGTTTCTTTTTAGTAGGCCCTTTTCCTTTTTCTCATCGCGTTCCTCGGCCGCCCCTTGCCGCAGTTGACGCGCCAAGGGGGGGGGTGTCCGCGGGTGGCGGGGCGGATCTCTTTTTCCGCTGCCCCTTTCGGCCATCTGGCTGCAACCTCGAACCTTGAACCCAAAAAATTCCACGACACCAGTTCTCTCCTTTTCTCTACCCGTCCTTTTCTCGTCTCTCCTTTTCTACGAATACACACCTCAATTAACCTCGAAATCTTCTCCCCGTCCTACTTGCCTCCGACCCACGCGACCCTCCCGTGCTCCCCGCGTGCGCGCGCGCGCCAAATGTCGACCACCTCTCGATAAACCAAAACCATGGACGGCGATCCAAGGGTCGAGCCGCAGCTCGACTCCTTTAGCTTGACGTTTCCTCTCCCATTTCGCGTCGGCTTTATCATAACCCTCGGTCCGTCCCCC